TTGACAGAGATACCAATACGCATGATGAACGTAAACGAATGTGAACGATACTGCCCCTACGAAACAGACGCGATTGGTTCTTTCAGAAGTTTAATGAGAAGAAAAGAAGATTTCTCCCAAAGGTCATTGATGTACATGGCTAGAATCTGCACGGCTGCTTGAATCCTGCAATAGAAACGAGCGGTTAAAACGGAACTTCACTAAATCACACCTACATACTTACTTTAAATCATATTTCTATTGACGAATGCAAGAAGCAAATATATAATGTGATATCTTTGAGAGTGAATGGTATTAAAAGGGAGACAACTGCATTGGCTGTTTTTCACTCTTTCGCGTTCTGTAGACGTTCGGCTTTTTTCTATTTGAATTTTTAACACTTTCGCTTTTTCGAGCCGAATTTTACTTTATATAAAAAGTACATTTGTGCATTAGTGTTTCAAAGGTGTGAATCTGGGTGTCGGGTATAGGTGTGGGGTGTGGATGGTTGTGGGTGTGGGCCAGAGATGGGCACATGACGGGGCGGTGCGGCCGTCCTGTATCCTGTCCTGTCCTGCAGAACAGGACGATACTAACATTTTTGTCCTATCCTGCTGAGTGGCAGGATAGGATTACACGGTGTGATGACCAGGGCAGGATGAAACTAAAATTCCTGTCCTGCCCTGCTGAGCGGCAGGATGGGATTACACAGGACAGAACAGGACCGGATGGAAGATGTTGTTCTGTAGTTATTTCTGATACTTATCATCGTTAATAACAGCTGATATTCGCTATTAGTGATAGATTTCATTATTCTTTAATTGAAGAAGTACAATCATTTCCGAATTGGTTGATAAGATGGTCAAATCGGGAAGAAAAAAGAAAATGTGCATAATAGATGTAAACAATGTATATCTATTGTTCTTCGTTCTCTTATCATAACATCGACGTCTCGTCTTTACTTTTACTTCTTATTGGCTTAACTGTTATTTAAGAATAGAATTTTGATGAATGAAAAGTATAAAGGAATAAGTTGGTCATAGAATTTCTAAGAGATGCAATATATGCTTTACTTAGGAAAAAATAAAACATGCATTATTTTTACCGCTTAGTATTCTGTCCTGTCCTGTCCTGCTGAGCGGCAGGATGGGGGTTAATAAAGGACAGGACAGAACAGGACGGAAAATCTTGTCTTGTGCTCATCTCTGGTGTGGGCGTGTGATGAGTATGGGTGGGTGCGGGTGTGTGTCTGTGTGGGTGTGGGTATGCATGGAAAAAAGAATTATTCACACCCACACCCAGACAGCCTTCTACAAGATGTGATGTCGAACTTCAGTATAGCTTTTATACAAGTAGAACTATAAGCATTTTCCGGGAAGCTATTTCTACGTTAGATGGGTTTTGGTTAAATAATCGATTTTTCAAAAACGAGAGTAATCGGAAAACGAAAACTTAGATGCCTTGTAAGAATATAAAAGGAAACTAAAATAGCGCATTTTGTAGGGCAGAATTTGCTCTACAATCTGATATATGAACCAAAGTTACAAAATTGAGTTTCCAATTGAAACAGTAAAAAATACAAAAATGTACAAAAACTATTTTTGTCCAAACTATCTTTTAAAGCAATTCAATGATTCTTTCACTGCTTCCAAACAAAAATAGATAAAGAATTTTTGAACTCATATTTGGAAAGAGCATTAAATTCTGATCCTTATCCATCTTTTTCGCATTCATCTGGAATGCTTTCGAGGTGGTGAAAAGTGGACAAACATTTTGTCTCAAAACTTTCGGTCTACCCGTTATAATTACATATAAGAGTTCATCGTTTTGACTGATTTTCTCATATTTGTTGTCTACATTTAAAAATCTAATGCATCACTCATTTGTAACTCATGAACCATTTGACATCTCCTCGTTATTATTAATATCTGACTGTACAAGTGAATACGAATTATTCGAAATATACCTTTTGAGTTCGCGGATAATTCAGTTTTAACTAGAATTTCTTGTGATAAAATGTTTAAATACTTTCTCTTCTATTATGCACTTTACATTGAGTTCATAAATTAAAACATACATGATATTAAAGAAAGTAGCTTACTTGTTATCACCATGTTCTAATGGATGTTTACGAGGTAGTCAAGGAGCACTTCGTTCAAAGCTGAGCTGTTCCAGTTGCTGGAGGTGTTCAAATAAATATGATAGAAAGCTTAGTGAGCAGTCTCCAAAGATACCGGTAATTGTAAGTTTAAAAGTCTAGTTTGAATAGGCATAAAAGTTCTATCAAGTGGCAGAATGAGTTCAATGTTTTGAGTATAATGTATGTATCGCCAAAACAGCAGATGATATACGCGTAATGAAGAAAATAAGCGAAAAATTCGTTTATAATATACACCTTCAGGCACATCTATAAATGTATAAGCAGCACGATAATAAGTTGAAAAGCGTACGCTAAACATGATGAAATAGCTAATCGGTGACAGTGTGTTGAGAATCAATTCAAAAAAGCTTGTTAGCGCAGCTCCTTAGGGGCTGAAATGTGGAACTCATATATGCTTTCGAGCCTCATTCAACTGATACAAAATGCGTAAGCTGAAAAATTTCTCTTAGACTATAGTTGTTTTGCAGGAAAATCAATCGTAAGAGTAAGAACCTCTCTAATTTCGAACAGAATGCTTTTTAAACTTTTTTCTATGGGCGCCCTATTTTTCAATTGCATTGTTGCTGTTTGCTCATTGTTTTTTTATTTTTTTTAATTTGTTTTTCTTAATTTATCATTCTTATTATTATAATCATTGAATTGATTAACAAATAAGTGTGTTTTACATACCTATGATATCTACAGCAGACCTTACACACTATCATATATATTAATCAAGTCACAAATAATGATATTCATTATTTTTCAAAATTATAACTGAATCAATTTTCCAAAAAAAAAAACTCGAAAAAATTAAACACCTTTTATTATTGATTGTGAAGATCTGTAATGGGGGTGTCTGTAAGGGGTGAGGGTGAGGGGAAGGGGGGAGCCGCAAAAACTCGAACTTAAAACTTACACTCACTATTTTCTTCGAAAATATATGTGAGTTCCACAAAAAGAACGTTTTATGTCGATTAAAGATAAATAACGAAGATTGATAAATATAAATAGATGTGAGGTTAACCATAAGCCATTATCAATAGATAATGTGTCTGAGACACATAACAAAATAAGACGATTACAGATGTTTGCTTGTGATAAATGTCTGCAATAGAAGTTAGTCACTTCTATATTCATCCCATCAAGACCCAAGGAAATGGGTATAAATGACGTGTTATTAATCATACAAGTAAATCGCAAATTAAGATTAGAAAAAATATTGAATACTTCATGAAACTCGAAGTAAATAAATATTTGGTAGAGTAATTCGACGAAGAGATGCTCTAATGTTGTTGCCATAGTTTGTCTTATTGTCATCATATTGGATATTATGCATCATTCTTATAGAATGGCTTCATGAACAATATTATAAAGCATTATTTGTTCTTTCTGTCGATAGCCACCACAATAAGATGATATCATTATTGCTAATTCGTCAACTTCGTAGGTCAACGTATATACAGTTTGTGTTTTCTTTGCTTGCGATCATTTTTATCTACAACAGCGTGTTTATAAGACGTGACAATATAATTTATCTGATAGTCAATGAATTATCCTTTTTCTTATCGGAAATGAAACTCGTTTTTTAATATCACATATGGAACAATATTTTCAGAAAAAAGAGCTGCATAAGAATTATGAATAATAATAATTAAAGCATCGATCACTTTTTTACCATCATATGGCGTCATTTGACTTTTGGTGATAATTTTTTTTAATGCGTGAAATGCCGAAAAATATAAGACATCAAAATTTTATTAGTCTTCAATGACCTTCAAACGTTGCTGAGATAGCATTTTAGTGAAAAATAAATTAAAAGCTCTTGTTTTTATCTGAAAAACCAATATTTTTCATACCATGGCAAATAATAAAGGCTGTCCCATTCATTCGGTATCATATGATATGACAAATATTGTAGATTTAATTGCTGGTTCTTCTAATTAGATCACATCTAAATCTGTCTTGATTACATAAAGAGCCAGAAGATTTTGTATAAATTTCATTTATGTGCTCTTCTCAAATTTAGTATTTCATTTTTTAATCCACCACTCAATCCTGAATATTATGTCACTAGAACATCAGCGGCTCAAAATCAAAAATAAATTCAGGGAAATAGACAGCACACTGATTCATCGTTGCTCTGCTACCAATAAATGTTCTTATCTAATAATTAATTATGCATGTTTTATTAATGAGATGTGGTTGTGTCCTTTTCGCTTGATTTAAAAAAATGATGCCATCATTGTCTTGCTTGAAGATTAAAAACTTATTACCATCTGTTTTGTCTCTGACTGTAGTATTGCCGAACAATTATTTCAAACTTTTTCTTCTTACCTTGTATCATAGCTATTGATTATCGTTCAAGAATTTTTTATTTTACCAATTCTTTTCAAATATGTTGTTTTTTTCATACAATCCAAAATAGTAAAACAAATTACTAATTTTATATTAGTCAATGTCATGAATCAACATTAATTATATCATTCGAACGATTAAACATTATTCATCTAACACGTAAGCATTGATTACATTGAAATCTTCATTAGCAAAATTTTTATCTAGGAAGGTAGATATGGGTGCAGAGATGGACGAAAATGAAATCCACACCCTATCTTTTTCTTCTTCTTCAAATCTGTTCCCATTGTTTCATGCTCTAATCGACTCTTACTTTATCGAATAAAAAGCACAAGTCTCCATCTGATTTAAAGTAGCACTAGTAATTGTTTTTCTTTCAACAGATATGCGAAACGTCTCATTTTTATTCATATATCAACGAAAAATAACTACTGGAGTCCTATTTTGATGTAGTTCAATATGCATTGAAGAGACGAGAAAAATTTTAACTTTGCTTGCATAAATAAAATATGTGAAAAATCAATTAGTTTTTATTATCGTTTGCAGATGGAGACATTTCATAGTTGCCTATCTCTTGTTTGTTTTCGTCATAGTAGCCAATGTGATCCGATTTTGTGCCCAATAGAACCTCGCGACAGAAATTCAGTTCATTGATGGCCATTGTGAGTCGATCAATGATTTGGTCTCGTGTTGGCCATGGATGATCACCGATGGCAAGATCAAGCATTTGGGCATTGGCACGCCATGTCTTATGTATTGCATACTCTAAATCAGCCGTGACTTCTTTCCGAAAAGTATCGTAACGTGTACATTCTGTCGCAAATGGATTCGTTGACATGTATGAGTTGACAATAGTAATACGAGGTTCTGTACAGGATTGAATGTTTGTTACTCGATGTGCTAATCGACTGCCTAAAATCAGATGACAGAATACATTCATTGTTTTAGTGAATAGTCTTTCTCTTTCTCAAGACTTATCTTGCATGAACACACACGAATTGGGACCGAGATAGTCGATTGGTCGAATGAAATCTTTTGGCACTTTGCCCTTGTACTCCTCAATAAGACGAAATGCTTCTTTCGGCTCGCGTTCAATAAGCTGCAGTTCACCACCAACCGTTTGACTCATATCACATGCAAGCAAAATGACAACGTAGGGTACACTGTCGCAATGCCACGAATCGATATTCCTCTTAGTTTCATAGCCAATATTGATATGGCTATAGCTGTTTTGAAATGCAGTTGGCACGAGATTAACATCTCCTGTCATGCGCGACAAATGTTCAAGTACACGTGGACATCGATTGAAATCTTGAAGCCATTTACTGCGGTAGCCAGCATTACGAATAAAAGCTGGCCAACGGTCGTTGCTTTGCTGATGCACAAGTTCACGTTGAAGAATTTTACGTAAAACTTGATAGCCTTCATCACTCAGTAGTCTAAATGGACCTGTATAGGCTATTTGACTTTCGCCATTCGATGCCACTGGTTTATCGAGTTTAGGAGCTTTGGGTACATGCCGGTAACCATCAAGTAGTACGACAAATTCAGGTTCAGTCGGTGACAAATGAATATCAGGATTGTATGGAGGTTCATTAGATGCAATTTCAAAGTCGGGATGAATCAGAAGAGGAGGTAACGACGTGTTAATGTTGTCAAGAGCCATAGCGCTGGTACGTTTCTGAAAATAATACTACCTAGTCAGTTACAAACTTCCGAAAATGCGTATAAACGCACAAACAAAGAAGAACAAAGTGTTTGTTTTTCACTTGCAACTACGACTCACCAGAATGAGAGAAAAATGATTACTCTTTTTCTTTTTCGTGCGCTTACACGCAGTTTCGGCCCATGTGACTAGCTCAATATTACTTTCGCATGATATCGTCACCTTTTATTCTTCACTGTCACATTTGTCGTTCTTTTTCTCTTTTCATTCGTTTATACTTAGGGTATATAAAAAAAGTGTCGTCATTGCCTTATATCCATATTGAAAACTTGAAGAAATTTTCTTTTTTTATGTAGTAATAGAGAAAATGACGCTCTATTGTTCTGTACTATTCGATCACCATTGAACTAATATCGTAATAATAAAATTACGATAAGAACTATGTTTCTGTAAAATGTAACGGTTGTACTAATGCTATTTGAAAAAAAAGGCCAACTGAGTATTTTTTTGAATAACTTTTCACAGGAACAAGAGAGAGCTGTAGTTTTCACTGTTCGAAAGAAGATATGAAGCTGCATCAAAGTGTATATCATGAGTTTTCCAACTATGTTGGCTGAAGTTTGTTTATTCAATTTTCTAAGTGTCAGAAAAAAAGGTTTTTATGAAAAAGCAAACAGCAAAATACATTACTTCACAGAAGTTGCTAAAAAAGCCACTCACAGCTTCAACTATGATACCTATGACTCCTGGAAAGTAAATTTCAAGCATGTCCACCTTATTCATTTATGTAGATCTTCCATTGACGGTTTGCACGCGCACCTGACAAGTAAAAACTCGTTGTGGGCACCTCGCAAAGTAGATTTATTTTCAAAGAAGTCGATCGCAAATCTTAAAAAATCAGACCGAAAAAATCTGAAGCATACAAAAATCTGGGGTGTGGATGGTGGTGGTGTCACTCTATTCTCACCCACAGCCACACCTTGTTTAGTTCGGTCTTAACTCTAAATGAATTAGAAAGTCTTATTGTTTTTACTGCTAATGGAAAATCCAATATGATTTGGACTATGGAACGAATTGTTTAAATTGATGTTGATGTTTCACGATATGCTTCATTGTTATCATTTAAATCTCTCACTGATGAAGATAAACAAAATTTATTATTATTATATTTCAATGATAAAACTCTTATTTCATGTACAGTAAATCTTAATAAATCAAATGATAAAGGTTCTATTCAATTAACTCTATTCAATCAAGCCGATAAATTTTGTCTCAAAAAATGATTGTCTTGCTACATACAACAATGGAAAAACTCAACTTAATTTGCATAATATTCGTTCAGGTGAATGTCATAAATCAATTCAATTGGAAGATGAATGTCAAAATTTATGTTTGAATGAATCAGCAACTTATGATTTTTGCATTAATCAAACCTCGAGTTTTATATATGGATGGAATTAATGATCATCGGCAATCAGCCAACTATTTGTCTATGATATTCTCGTATCAGCTATGAACGAGCGACGTTTGCTTACATGAATGACTGTCGACCTTGATGATCCTACATTACAGGCAAGAATTCAAGCATTGCCCAGCAGGTATATACATATCGCGAGAATAATGAAAAATAAAAATCCACAATGAATTAGCAACTAGTGTGAAACAAAAACTAGAGTACTCCGAAAGAGACCTGTTTATTACATCCTTTTAAATTTTTATCCTATTCAATGTATGATCCAAAAGAACGAACCAGAGAGTGAAAACGAATTCAGAGAAAATCTCTTTGTTCTAACCATCAGTAATTTCAACTAAAATGTCTGAGTTTATTATTGAGATATTTTAAAAAAACTTTGAATAGCAATTTTCGAACAAGATCTTGATGATATATCTGAGAAAATGAATGCTCATGATATCTCAGTACGCATTTCGCTCATATGTTCACTTCCTCTAAAACTCATTATCAAAAACTTTCTCCTTGATAATTATCTCATGAGCACTGAAAAATTGGTCTTTCAGTATCTCTTGTCGTTTTCAAGCTATGGCTCGATCATTCGAAAAAAAAATCCTAGACACGTTGACAGCACCTGCAGACGAATTGCAATTGATTGTTTCTCTATTGTTGCTGTACATAAGAGAAAGCTGTTAAAAGTATGCCTTCGATTTTTTTCCGTGCCATGTCATCACATCTAATGACAGCAGTGGGATATTTCAAACTTGTCTCATTGTTTATGAGTTATATTATGAAACTGTTATGTCGAAAAACTTACAAACAAGCAAGCAATAACCCAAAAAAGCATTCGGTTTGAATTTCTTGATTGAATCTGGCGCATGTAGTCTCATAGCTTCGCAGAAATCACTCTGTTGACATTGTAGTTTCATTCCTCTATTTCTGATTCCCACCCATGGAAAACTGTTGATTAGTTAAGAGTATTTCATCTACGCAAAACCATTCACATGGTTTGAGTACATTTCTGTTGTGTCCTAAAGATTCGAAAACCGTTTTCTTTTATTCATACGGATTCATCAGACTCATCGATCGAGTTCTTTTTTAATTTCGTCAATTTTGAACTATTGATAGATTGAAAATGGACGACTTAATTAGACGGGAATTTGGACTATTTGTCCTTCAGGTTACACTCTGATTATTTTCGATAGAAAAATAGTGATTTGTATAATAAATCATTGTTTACGAATATATGAAACACTGCTGCCTTTGTTTCATTTTCAAGTTCAAATATCTGGCTTTTGATGAGCTAAAAATCCAATCTATTATATATTACACATTTCATCTATAAAGGTTCCGAATAACTTCACTGTTACGCATTCGAGAATATCAAAGATTGCAAAACCATTTTAATGATTAATAGTTTCTGTCACATACATACCTAATAAGATATCATCGAATCATCGCATAAGGCAGAAAGTGATGATATGATTATGAACTGCTCACAAAATAAAACTATTCACAGTTCAACATAGAAAGAATCTTTTTCTAATAACTTAACAACTGATTTTCTTCGTAATAAAAATTCTCATCGTATAAGCAAATTTACAACAACAAAACTTGTTGCATATATGAAAAAGGTGCTAATGTTAGTTCAAATGACGAAGACGATATCAAAGGTAATCATCATTTGATAAACAAGAATGATAACAAAATCACGATACAACAAGTTGTACGACTGACTAGTCTCTTTCGTTTCGTTACTCGATTGAATGATAGACATTCACTTTCGAAAATAAGAAATGATGAAGAAATATGCTTCAAAGTCATGTATACATCATTGGAAAATTCGAAGATACGTGATATTACGGAGGGTGTGGGGTGTGGATGCAGGCAGCAGAAAAACAACACCCACACGCACATCGTAGAAAAAATTTTTGAATTAAATTTGAACAGTAGAGAAAGTAAACGCATTTATACAGGTTATGATAATTTTTGAGACACTCTATTACAATATCCCTTTTATACGAGGGTGTAGGTTTCGCGATGGGTGGAGAGTAGAACCAGACCCACACTTCACACCTCACACCCACTCATACCGCACATCCACAACTCACAGCCGCATCCCACACCCACTCACATCCAAACCCACACCCTTTGTGTCCTTACATTGTATTTCTCCCTATAACAGTCACAGTCAACGACTTGCCTATTGACTTACTGATAAAAAAGTGATAAGAGCATATTCTGTTTCAACACAAACAGCGAAACATTAAGAAGACAAACGAAGGAAGCATTGTTTTTTTTGTTGGTATAAAAAGACAACTTCTTTCGACCTCCAATTTCAATTTTTTTCAGACAAAGTCCTCACAAATTTATCAATACTTCTTGTCTCGTGTGTGATACCTATATTCGTATCATTACAATAAAATTCGATTTCATATCATATGGCTTACAAATCATCAGTTCTAAGCATCAAAGAAAAACAATCTGCAAGTAGAAACGATGGCGAAAATAAAGAAAGTATAACACTCATTTGGTTTGATCCAAATATTGGTTTACAGGAAGATATTGAACGAACAAAACAGCAACTTCGTCTTATTAATGATTATGTCATTTTTTATGGCGATCTTGAACGATTTATTACATTTATTCAAAAAACTAATAAACAGAAAATCTTTTTAGTTACATCAGGATCAGAAGCATCACAAATTTTACCTCGAATTTATTCTTTTCGTCCAATTGATTCCATCTTTATCTTTTGTATGAAAAAAGAAAGATATGAATATTTATTAAATGAATATTCCAATATAGTTGGTATTTATATTAATCTTGATGATTTATGTAAATCAATTAAAGAACAAACTGATCTTGTTAATCAACAAATACAAACATTTTCTTTTTTTTGATCAACATGAAAAATCGACCAAAGATTTATCCAAAGAATCGGCACAGTTTCTTTGGTTTCAATTATTTAATTATGTTATTGTTCATCCCCCACGAAATCGACAAGCAAAACAACAAATGATTCAAATATGCAAAGAATATTATCGCGGAAATACAAAAGAAGTAAAATTAGTTCAAGAGTTTGAACAAAATTATAGATCAGAAGATGCAATTCACTGGTATTCAAAACAATCATTTGTTTATAAATTAATAAATAAAGCTCTGAGAACAGAAGATATTGATCTATTATATACATTTCGTTTTTTTATTAGTGATTTTTCGAAAGAGCTTCAACGTGAACATGACAAGATCTTAAAATCAAAAGAAAAAATTTTGAATGTTTATCGAGGAGCTAAACTTGACAAAGAAGAATTCGACAAATTAAAAGAAAATCAAGAAAAACTTATTTCAACAAATGTTTATTTATCAACTAGTCGACAAAGATCATTAGCATTACGTTTTGCACTGAAATCAACAAAAAGAATTGATGTTATTCCTGTTCTTTTCCATATTCAATGCGATATTAAGCAAATAAATAAAAATATTAGTTTTGCTGATATTAGTGAATTTAGCCAATATCCACATGAAGAAGAAGTTTTATTTGATTTAAATGCTTGCTTTCATAATTGACTCTTTTACAGAGCAGGAATCATTACAAATCATTAAAACGAATCTTTCAAATGAAGGACAAAAAGTTACAAAAGACTCCTGAACTAGTACGTCAAGAAACAGAAAAACTAACCGTTTCGATTGCTTTTGGTAGATTATTGTGTAATGTAGGTGAATACGATAAATCACAAAAATATTTCCAACAATTATTCACTAATTCCAATGGTGAAGATCGAGTATGGATTGAATTTAATATTGGTCGAGTTCTTTATAAAGGTGAATGGAACGAAGCTCGAGAATATTATGATCGCGCTTATGATCGCATGATGAAAAGTGAACCAGCACGAATCAAAGATTGTGCTTATGTTCTCAATGACATTGGTGACATTTTTCGTAAGCAAGGAAAATATCACGAAGCCCTTGATTATCATCAGAAAGCATTGAAAATTCGAGAGAAATATCATCCATCTGGTTATGTCGATATATCTCATAGTCTCGCTAGCATTGGACTTATTCTCCATAAGCAAGGAAAATACGATGAAGCTCTTCATTATCATCAACGAGCATTAGAAATTCGAGAGAAATTTTATCCATCTGGCCATGTTGACATTGCTACAAGCCTCAACAACATTGGTAAGGTTCTCAATGATCAAGGAAACTCCGATGAAGCTCTGAATTATCATCTGCAAGCGTTGAGAATGAAAGAAAAATATTATCCATCTGTTCCTATCAGTATTGCTTATAGTCTCAACAACATTGCTAACGTTCTTAATCGACAAGGAAAGTACGATGAAGCTCTTGATTATTATCAACAAGCATTGAAAATTAGAGAGAAATCTTATCCATCTGGCCATGCCGATATTGGTGTCAGTTTGAATAATATTGGCGGTTGTTATGAAAATCAGAACAAGCGAAAGATGGCACTTGACTACTTTCACCGCGCATTGAATATTTATGATAAGTTTCTTTCTGTTGACCATCCAGATCGACAGAGAACCGAGAAGAATATTCGTCGACTTACTGAAAAAAAAGCTTGTTAGCGCAGCCCCTTTGGGGCTGAAATGTGCAACTCACATATACACTCTAGCCTCATTAAACTAATACAAAATACGTCAAGTGATAAATCTCTAGTAGACTATAGCTGTCTTGCAGGGCGATCGATGTCTAGAATAATGACTTCTCTAATTTCTCCATTTCGAACAGAATTTTTTCATTTTTCTCTACGAGCGCCCTATTTTTTTGTTTGTATTGTTGCTATTCGCTCATTATTTTTCATCTTTTTAAATTCGTTTTTCTTAATTTAACATTATTATTATTATAATCATTGAACTAATTGACAAATATGTCTGTTTTACATATTCATGATATCTATAGCATACCTTATGCAATAGCATATATACTAATCAACTCACAAATAATGATATTCATTATTTTTCAAAACTCTATATCCATCAATTTTGCAAAAAGTTCTAAAAATTTTTTCTATAGGCGCCCTAGTTTTTTGTTTGCATTGTTGCTATTCGCTCATTTTTTAAAATTTCTTTTAAATTCGTTTTTCTTAATTTATCATTCCTTTTATTATAATCATTGAATTGATTGACAAATAAATGTGTTTTACATATCCATGATATCTACAGCAGACCTTACAGACTACCTTGTAAATTAATCAAGTCACAAATAATGATATTCATCATTTTCTAAATTATAACTTGATCAATTTTCCAAAAAAAATTCGAAAAACTTTAACATCTTTTATTATTGATGGTTAAGGTCTGTAATCAGACGGGGAGGGGGGGTCTGTAATGGGGGCTTCCGTTGCTATGGTGTCTGTAAGGGGAGGGGAGGGAGCCGCGAAACCTTGAACTTAAAACTTACACTCACTATTTTCTTCGAAAATATACGTCAGTTTCATAATATAAAGTAATTAAATGATACAGTAAAGAATAGGATTCCGTTAACGATTTAAGAACTTCGTTTTTCTGTTCGAACTACTGTTTGTATTTGTGAATATTTGATATTTATCGCAACCTTGTTTTGAATAATTTTACAATTATAAATTGGTTTTTATTTAGTGTAAGATGAACAAGATTCATAAAAAAGTTGAATTGACGGTTTTAAGGCTCATTTTTTGAGAATGAACTGCGACGAGTACCTCTTTTACATTTCTCAGAAAATAAACTTATTGATGAAAAAAGCTATCAGTAGAGGGTGTGGATATGGGTGTGGATGGGTGTGGGTCTGGGTCTGGGTCTGGGTGTCGGTGTGGGTGTGGGCTTTATTTCTATCTTCACTGACACCCACATCCACACCCACAATCACACCCACACCCACACCCACACCCACACCCACACCTACACCCACACCCACACACCCACCCACACCCCAATTTCAATCAAACAATTGATTAGTTTGAGATCATCATAAATGCAAGCGACATATTGACGACCGACAATTGGTACTGGTGGTTTGGTCGGGTTGATGAGACCACTTTCAGTTTCCTTGGCATTGAAAAATGCCGGAATACTTTCACCTGTCAATAGAATTTCAATTGAGATCATGTTCGAACGATAAAGAAATAACGAACCTAGTTGTTCATGAGCATATTGTTTCATAGTTGCGTAGACACGTCCTTTCAAATTCCGAATGGGATTTGGATCAAACTTGAGAATGAAATGATCTTTGGGGGGCATTGCATTCTCTGATGGTTCCTTATTCACTTCACATAACGTTGCCAGAAAAGCCAATTTTGACTTTTCAATATGTTCTAAAGCCGTATCTTTACCTTTCAAGATTCCCATATTGTACAAAGCGGATTGTCTTTTGTCAAATAGTTTATGTATGTGAAGAAGAGAAACAAAACTAATCTCAGTAGAGAATCGTTGTCGATCTTTTCTAGATATACCAAATAGAACAATTCTCGTTCCATGAGTAACAACAGAACAAGAAGAAAGAAAAAATGTTGTCAACAAACAAATGACAAGTGATATTAAAGTAATTTATTAATTCCGTCTTATTATTATTAGATATTACTCTTCGTTTGAATCTTTGTTTTCTCTCTTTAATTAGCTTTGTTTGTCTAGCAATGCAATTTGTTGTCAAAAGCGATGAGTTCTATTAGATTCAATTAAACTAAACAAAACAGAATTTTAGTGTTTTTCTGCACTTGGCCCTGATATCTCTCATAATGCTGATGAATCATGTAGAAACGCTCATCATCTCTCCCGTGACCACTTCTTTACTTATGTCATTCGTTGAATTGGATTTCATCCTTCTGAGACTAATTAGATCAATAGAGACCAAGGAAATGAGACTAATATGCGAAGTAATTTAAGACAAATGAGTTGAAACAAGATGAATCATAGGTACAACGATTAACGACACGGTATTCGACTATTGTCGCCGTTGAAAGGTGTCGAAAGAGATTTATATTTAAAAATGATGAAGAACAAAGAACTTTTCAAATGAGATCTGTTTTCATATACTTTAATTGATATTATTAATAATGTTTTTGTACTGGTTTTCTATTTTGACATGAAGGACGATTTTTCATAAAGATCTGTAAGAGATGCCAGTTATACTAGCTATTATTCATCGATCAATTATTTAGACATTTGTGCCATTCTGCTTGAGCAGGGTATTAGTGTGTGCATAAGATACATTCATACTCTTAAAAATCTATTTTTTTCTTCATCCCAGGCCAAAAAATCAGACGAAATCGTATGAAAATCATACAAAAAGAAACGCAGTCTCAGAAATCTTACATCATATCGTACTATAAGATGATTGAAAGATCTTGCCGCTACATAAAATTTTCACTAATTTTTATAGTAATATCTTACAAGATATCAAAATCTTTCAAGAATCTTTAAGTACGATGCGATGTAAGATATCTGAGACTGTATTTTTTGTACGGTTTTCATCTGATCTTACAAGACCTAATGTCTGATTTGTTGACCAGGGATAGGAATAGATTTCACCAAATAACTTGCCTCTGACTAAGAATAGCTATTTGATGAAAAAACAAGTATAATAAGAAAACTAAAATGATACTCTAATTCAATCATATTTCTAATTCCCTCTCAGGATAAAATCATAAAAATAACTGATATTTCTCGCCTAATTTCAAGAACAACTTCAATATAAACTTTTTAAAGATTTGAAAGAGATCTTCTGATATTTTGTTAGAATCTCTATTTTCCAATATAAAGATACAACTATGATGAAGATAAAATGGTAATAGGGCTTCTAAATTTTGTCAGCTTCTGAATGAAACACACAACAAATTTGAAAAATGTCTCTATGGATCGTTGTTGATACTTGACTTCGCATTGGTATTGAAATTCGTTTTGTGATCTAAAGATCTGCAAATCTTCCTTATAAATCTTAGTGGGATCGGGAAATTCAAATTCTGATTGCATTCTAAATACAAATTGGCAAACATCTAAACTGAATCCTCCTATTTTCTCTTCAAGATTTTATGAGTGTCGGCCTTGACAGTATTATGATTATAAGAATTTGACGTGTTGTTCATATCTTTCGTTCCCAAGAAAGTAAACAGCGAAGTTGATTTTTTTGTCTTATCAGCATTCAGGATATGACTGTTATCAATGAAATAAATTTCTTGATTAATTATTACAGAAATCTTTTAAAAAGCGTAAAAAATGTTGTTTGATTAAGTGAAAAGAAGAAAAAATAATCAGGATGATCCTCGATTTGAATATAATGACCATCCGTATTGTGATTTAGCCAGTAATTTCTCATTTGAAAATTCAAGTGTAACGACACTATCCCCTTTTTGACCTTCTTCTTTGATACCAGTATATTGAACTACCATTGATGTATACCATCGTACACTAGATTCTGACACCACATTTCTCTTTTGACTTCCAACTACTGCTCTTACTGGTTGACATATCCATCCAATTTGAATCATGTTATAATTATTGTTCTTTTGTTATCTTATAATTTGTTATAAAATCGAAGTTCACTTGTGTCTTTGTAAACAAAATTCTATTTACAAAGCCAAACTCTGCTATAGCAGCCATATTAGATGATGAACCTTGATATTGCATTAGAATAGTATCTGAAATATTAGAAGGTGATGGTATAACTTTTCCTAGACTACCCACATACTGTGTCAATTGATCACATATCCAGTCAAAATGAATTTGTTGGTATTATTCAAATGTTATTCGATCATTTGGTAGAAAAGCATTTGCTGTAGATGCACAAGTGGAACTGTAAGTATTTGGTCTATCAGACACCCATTCATCTTCTAATTTGGATTCTAAATTTCTATCCCCAAATCCAAGTTGAATATAACCAATTCCTTCAACTTCTTCTTGACCTTCATTCTGATATAGAACTGTGACGATTTTTGATAGAAGGGATATTAGTGCTGATGCTATTACATTTTATTCTATGCCTTCATATCATATAATCGCATTGTTTACATATATAGCACACGCTTATATACGCAAGTAGAAGAAGAGAGGATGAAAAGAGAGGAGATAAGGTCAAGGAGAGAGTCGATATAGGAGAACAATAGGATAAGCACAGAATGATAGCAAGGTAAGGACAATGTATAATATACGAGTGAGTGATATGGAATGGCTAAGTATCATGTATGAAATCCAATCAACCGGGATCGTTACAAGAACAGTCATTAATGTTTTATTCGGCCAAATGTTTGCTTCTTCTATAGCATTTTCTTTACTTCCAAGCGTTAATATTACTTGCTGATATGGCGAGCCAGTTTGTATCTGATTATAATGATCTCTAGTTATTACATAACTTGATGTTAAATCAAGCAGTTTTTCGTTCTTCTTCCAAAGAATTCCATTATAAAATGAAAATGTCACCGTAGGCACTCTTTGCAATACGTTCGATGGTATTGAGCCTTGATATTGTACAATAATAGTATTCCAATTATGTGGTGACATTGATGTTTGTGGTGTTATCAATTTTCCAGGTCTACCAACAAATTGTGTCACTTGATCACGTGTCCATCCTAATTGAACTTGTTGAAATTGTTCAAGCGTTAGTGAATTGTTGCCTGTAGTTTTTGTGAAGGCAGAAGCAACCTCGGTGCCACTGGAATACGGAATAATTGACAGCATTAGCAGTGAGACGACGAACATCATTTTCACTCAGCAAATACGTAAGTTGTCGAATACGTTGACGTTCTTTTTTCTCGCAACAAATATAGAATCGATAGCATCATTTGCATGAAAATTTATACATTTTCATTTACTTCCTTTTTTTCACATAAACATCAAGTTTCGGCGATTACTTCATCTTTTTTGCTCGAATAGAACTGCACATTATGACCCATGCAGTACATATTATTTTGAGTGCTCAGATCAAACAAATCGGAGAGTAGAATTGTGAAGAAGTCTGACGAAATCTCACTATAATATCATAATAGTCTGACGAAATTGTAAGAAAATCAGATGCAATCGTGCACACATTGATATGTTGCCCTTAAACTACTACTTCTGGCAAAAACGCATCTTATAATTTTTATATGAACGTATTTTAAGGTCTGGTATGATCGACCAAGATCATGTCGTATGATTTTCTCAGCTAGTTGCAAGATTTCGTAGGATTTCTAACAAAATCAATCAGATGATTTATTCAATTGGTTCTTCTGTTAGGATGATTAATCAGATTTGGGGTACGGGTGTGGGGTATCAGTGTCGTGAAAACAAGGCCAACACCCACACCCACACCCTATTCGAAAAGCTCATAAGAGACCTGAAAATACAAATAAATAAATAAATAAGACATGGCTGCCAAATTTTCATATTTCGAAATGTAGTTGACAACACTTTTAATATCGTTAACAATTCTACAGCATCAAATGTGAAAATGCTCACGCTATTCGGTCTCGATATTTTTTTCATTGATTTGAAGAACGAACTGAAAGAAGAAGGGTGTGGGTGTGAGTGGCGTGTGTGTGGGTGGGTGTGGCTGTGGCTGTAGCTGTGTGAGGGTGTGGCTGTGGCTGTGGCTGTGGCTGTAGCTGTGTGAGGGTGTGGCTGTGGCTGTCGCTGTGTGAGGGTGTGGGTGTGGGTGGTGTGATATGGGTATGGGTGTGTGATGTGGGTCTTCTTTTGGTCATCCCCACTTACACCCACACTCACATCAACATCCATACCCATACCCTGACCCACACCACATCCTGTTTATTTTATTTAGTCTGTGCTTGATGTCCGTGTTAAATATGCAAAGACGATGAAGAAAGCAAAACATAACAACATCAGAACTGTCATCAGTTTTTTCGAAGCGAACGATTGCGAGGACATTTCTCTGAGATCTTTGAAAAACTGTACTTCGTATGGCGAATAAGGTTTGCCGGTTGCATTGAAAATGTCATGAAACCATACAAGTGGAATGCTGGCATTGCCAGGCGATCCCCATGGAAAGTACGTTTGGGTTTTACCGGCCACAAGTCCCCAGTTGACAGCACCGATGTTCTCCTTGTGAAAGAAAACGGTGTGTGTGTGAAAGGTGCTACCGATCGTTCGAGCCATGTATTCAGTACAAATCAATGGCCGATTGAACTGTCGCAGTTCAGCAACTTGTTCCATGAGATTGTCCAGGGGACTATAATTATGAAAAGAAATGATGTCGGATGCTTCTAATTCAAATTGAGCTAATGATTCGTCCAGAGGCCCAGCAATGCCGATCGTGAGTGGTTGATAAGGATCGGCTGCGAGAGCAGCAGAGTAGATTTCGCGAAGAAGAGGTAAAACGATGGGCACTTGATGACTGCCCTGAGGCTCATTGTACAGATCCCATATGATCACGCGAGAGTCGTCGGAGAAGCGAGAGAGAATATCGATCGTATATCTAATAAAAATAAAAGTCATGTGATTTCTTTTTGAAAAGAATAAGACATTGTTTGAAACATGAGCAAACTAGTTATTATTCATGAAGGATAGATATTTTTTGCTCGGACATCATCTCAATATTCGTAAAATGTTGCCTCAGCCCTCGACAATTTCTAACATCAAACTACAACTCTTAGTTGATATTATTTCTCGGACCACTGTACTTTTCTACTTACTGTTTCAAGAGAGGCCATTTGCTCTGGTCCAAAAGCCAAGCTTGTCCTGGGCATCGCACCCATTGTGAATTATGCTGACCCGATATAGGTTCTGGTTGTGGACCTAATTTGGGATCAGGGCGCCAACATTCATCGAAGAGAACAAATATTATTTTGATATTAAATCGATCAGCGATGGTGAGAAAGTCATTAATCTTTTGAAAATAAGCCTCAGCATCTTGTTCATAGAAAAGGACATGGAGAAAAACACGCATCACATTCATATTGATCCCCGAAGCCCATCCAAGTTCGCGCTTCATAGTAGATGAATCAAATGTTTGCCACATATCAATTATGTTGACGGAGGACGAAGGTACAAAATTGCTTCCAAAGTACCAAGGTTGTTCGGTGTACCAGGCATTTGCTTCTTCAGGTGTCCAACGAGCGCCATCCACCTCGACTTTGACGAATCCACACATGATTAATAAAGTGAAAGGCAAAAGCATTTTGTTCTCAAGGACAAGTGATCACGCGCGTTATAACGACAAGGCCGAGTGTAAGATAAAATAAAATGAGGTAATTATACAGCACAATGATGAATATTCTTTTGGAAAGAAAGACAGTTAGTTACTGACAAGATATTAACGGTTCATGTACTATCACATATTAATGTTCAAAACCACCTGGATGTTTCTATAAAGTCTAAAACACTATTCTAGGATCTCATGGTACTGGCTGTTGAAGCAAACGATATAACTGAATTGCGTAAGACGGTCAATTTCACGTAGCGACAACTTCAAAGATGCTTTTTTACGACAGAACCTAAAACAAATTTGTATATCTTTCATTTCTCGAGTTCCAACATGAATACTATTCACGTTCAAAAAAAACTATTTGTTTTATAAGACGTGTTACGGGCTTATGTAGGTAAATATTCATGTAAAAAAAAACTGGAAAAATCCGATGTTAATCGTTTTTTTTGTGATTAAAATCAATTAAATTTCTAAAAATCGATTTTAATCGATTAAGATTTTTCCATCGATTTTAATGAGATTATTTGATTTTTAACCCTTTGATTATCATACTATAAAAAAAGTTACACCTGTTTTATAACAATTTTTCACAGAATAATTCATAAATATTAGCATGTAATCTTTTCATTCAAGTATAACGAAGTTTAATATAACTTACATTAAGTAAATCACGTGCGAGAACACATAAAATATTTTTGACATATATTCCTATGCCTAAAAAAAGCTAATTTAACAGTTTACTCGAATTCAATGCAACAAAAAATAATTTAGTAATAAAAGGGTTAATCCAATAAAATCGATTAAAATTAGATTTTTTCCAGGTTCTTTCACATGGACAACGCATTCACTAGTAAGCATTTCAGACGTTTGCAACAGAATGAGACGTCCACACGTGCTATACGATGAATGGTATTTTATAATGCATGTTCCTGTGGCGTCACCATACCTAACACGGTTGCCATGAACATTTGCCTCTCACCATTTTCATCATTTGTATATTCTTCTTTCCAACTTTGGTGAATATAGCGATTTCAAAGTATTCCGAAACGGTATTCTGCCGACTGATATAATCTAATTTTTACCGTGAAAAACAAAGTAGCTGCCGTCACAGTGCAAGTAGTCCTACAGATCTAGTCTCATTTGATGAGCTGAGATTTTAGAAGATCAATATGAAGATATCAAAGTGAGTGAGGACAAAAAATGTATCAGAAAAGCAGTGCTAAAATCTGTTCATTTTCATTCCCAACGATCTGCTTATTAAGACTACCCTGATAAAATCCGACAAATTTGTGCGACTATTTACAATTTTAGAACAAATTTTACAATTCAGGGTAAACGTGAATTTAGTCATCTTGTTGCATGACTACGGCTCGTGTTATGCAAGTGTCAGTTGTCTTCGTCCTTCTTCTATAAATGGGCATGAAGCAAAACAAATAGAAAAAAAAACTACGTTTTAAATTCAAATGAGAAGCATAAACAATTCAACTCCATTCACCTTGATTAGTCACCACACAGAAAATTGATTCGCCTGCCTTTCCACTAACGATTACAGTTGAGCTTAATAGATGTCAAACACGGCTACGGAGCTAACGGCTGGCACATAAAAAAATGGCAGTTTGAGTATTTTTGGAATAACTTCACCATTTTTCATCTGTTTAGTCTAATCCTTTTTTAAAAAGATCCATTTTCCAATTCTGCACAAAACTGTTTAATTCATTGTTTTATATGACATTTCGATAAACTTTTAGATAATGAAAAGTAAAGACGGCCGACACCTCGTACTTTGAAAGTTCCAAAATAGTAATGTTTTCAACAAAACTTCTTCGGAATTTAAGTGGCGCAATCAGTTTAAGGGTGGGGTGTGGGTGTGGGCTTTATTTATATCTTCACTGACACCCACATCCATACCCACACCCATATCCACACCCTTTTTGTGCTTCCATAGCTCGATAAAAGTCTTTTGGAGAAATAAATCCATCTTTATTTGTATCATATTCTAGAAAAGCTTCCGATGTTGTTAAATCTTTTATCTAAAATAAATAGGTTATAAAATTTTATTTATCACAAAAAAGAACTTACTTGGTCCATTGAGAACATTTCCTAAAAATAAAAGATAAGATTAAATATGAATAAATAAAATTATATTGAATACCTTCAAGCATTGATAATAACATAATAATCATACTTTTTGTAATTTCATAAATTCACGTAATAATTCAATTTGTGTTGAATCCTAGATAATGAAAACTTATTATTAATAGATAAATCAAGGATATTTTACTTGAGATAATCATCTTTGCATATGTGCAAAAATATAAAGAAATCCAGCAATTGTATCCCATAAACGACTATTTGCTAATGCTAATTGATCTTGTGGACACGCACCCTAGAAAATAATTTTATATTTGATATACAAAATTTAATTAATAATAACTCTTATCGAAATAAATCTTTTTGTTTTGATATATCAAACCTGAATATATTCCGTTAATGTATTAAAAAATTGTTTAGCAACATTAATAGCTCGACAAAGATACTCTTTTCTATGTGCATCAACTGCTTCCTTGCCTGAATAATGCCAATAAAAATCCATTAACGATTCCTAAATTAAAATAAATACTTCATAAAATAGTTTTCTTCCTTTTTTTTTGTATTACTTGTAAACTAAGTAAATAATCAATACCCAGTCAAACAAAAAAATCAAGAAACGCGTTTAAACGCTATAGAAATCGTGAACGTTTTCGGATGCTAATCGCGGTTCCCGTTTGTGACCCAGAAATGCCCAAAAAAAAACACCATGAAAACGACAAACCATTCACCAGCGTTTGATACTCCGTAAGAAAAACGCCTACTTTTTTTTTTAATAAACTGTAGACAAAAATCAGATGCGCACTTGTCGATATTTCTTCAACGTTTGTGGATGCCAGTCGGGAACCGCGTTTATGTACGTAACCCGACGAATAAAATGAGGCGTGAAAACGCATAGTTTTCGTACGCAACCATTTTTTCACATTTTACGATGTAGATAATTTCAAACGTGTATTCGACCGGATACTAAAGACGTTTCTACCTGCCAATCGAGAACCGCGATTGGCAGCGTAAACTGGCCATTCAAATTGATAGTAAAAACGCTCAACTTCGCCTTACAATAAACTTTCCACGATTTATATGCGACATAATTTCAACCGTACCTTCAACTTAATTTTCAACACACGTCTGACTCACAATCGGCAACCACCATTGTCATCATGCAACAGGTAATAAAAAACGCATCGAAATGCTCCCTTTTTGGCATCCAAACCTTCTAAGGGATACCTGACGCACACCTTTGGACATGTCTTCATAGGTAATTAACCCACATACCCAGCTGCTCATCGGCAACCACAAATACCATACAAATACATCATTTCTCCATTAAATAACCGCTCAAATTGGACAAGATTCAGGACTGAACAGAAAGAAATATAAATATTAGTAATTTCTAAAATACATTATTCCATACCTTTATCGTTCTATTCGGTCTCGAAATCGATCAACATAAAAATAAATATTGTACTATTTTCAAAAATAGATTATAACATAACTTTAATATTGTACTTGATCTCGAATACAATCTAAACCTAAAGAAAGAAATATTATATTATCTTCTAAAATAGATTATAACATACCTTCTACATTGTATTTCATCTTCAATACGATCTAAAGATAAATAAATAATATATTAGTTTCGCCAATAGATTGTCACATACCGTCAACATTGTATTGATCTCAAAATCTATCTAAATAGAAATAAATAAACAATATATTAGCTTCTAAAATAGATTATAACATAACTTTAATATTGTACTTGATCTCCAATACAATCTAAACATAAACAAAGAAATATTATATCATTTTCTAAAGTGGATTATTACATACGTTCTACATTGTATTTCATCTTGAATACGACTTAAAGATAAATAAATAATATATTAGTTTCTTAAATAGATTATTACATACCTTCAACATTGTATTTTATGTCGAATACGATCTAAAGATAAAGAAATACATATTATTTTAGTTTTTTAAAATAGACTATTATATGCCTTCAAGACTATACTTCATCTTGAACACGATCTAAATAGAAATAAATAAATATTATAATAATTGCTAAAATGGTTTTTTACATAGCTTCAACATTGTACTTGCTCTCGAATTAGATAAAAATATCAATAAATATATGTAATATTAGTTTCTTAAATAGATTATTACATATCTGTATCATTGTACTTGACTCTCAAATTTGATCGAAATATAAAAAAAGGAAATATAATATCAGTTTTTAAAATAGATTATTACATACCTTCAACATTGTATTGATCTTGAAGTTTGATCAAAATATAAATAAATACATATAATATTAATTTCTAAAATACATGGTTACATACCTTCAACATTGCAATTGATCTCAAATTCGATCTAAATATAAATAATGATAATATTAGTCTTTAAAATGGATTATTACATGCCGTGAATATTGTACTTGATCTCGAATCCGATTTAAAGATAAATAAATAAATATGATACTAGTTTCTGAAATAGATTATTACATACCTTCAATAGCGTACTGGATCTCAAATTCGATCTGCATATAGATAAAAAGTTATTATATTAGTTTCTAACCCGCACGATTAGATACCTGCAACGTTGTAGTTGATGTTGAAATCGATCTAAAGATAAATGAATAAATAAATATTATATCAGTTTGTAGAATACACTGTGAAATACTTTTTATAACGTATACGACTTGAATCTGTGGATGAAAAGGAAATATTACTATTTTGAGATAGAAAAGTGAAAATCAATTAAAGTACAAGTGATCAGTTGATGTTAGCGTTTTATTGTATGACGGTGTATAACGAAGTGACACGGTTCTAATATAGGGCTGCAGAATATCTGTAATTTCTTAGTATCTATCATTGTGATGGTAGCTGCTTTTATGAGTAGTAATAGTGAAGTGTTGGTTAACACTTTTATTTCGTATGTCTGAAAATGGAAACGGCTCTGTGAAATAGATTCTGTTATATGTATTCGGACACGAAATCGATGTGTTTTGTTTTTAGATTGAAGCTGGTAATGAAAATGGTATAAGAAGCACTGAGTACATTAATATAATTTGGTGTGATGTCGCTAGCTTGCGTTTATTTGACAGAATAGTGATTTCGTTTTGGGGATGTTTAGAACAGCTTCTAGAAAAGATGTTATACGTTTTCACTTTGATTGAAACGTTTTCGTTTATAATTAAGAAAGCACTGATGAAATTTTTGTGTATTTGATACGGTGATTGTTAATGTATTGGTCCATTGGGATAGCTTATCGTGATAAAAATGAGTGCAAAACGCTGAGGTTGAATTTAGTTAAACAATGTGCATTATTTATATTCTTTGTATATTGTAAGATATGATGAGAGAATATTCTTTACCTAGATTTGTGATTATATATTTACTAGAAGCTGATGTTGTTAAGCATATATCATGCTACATCACTTCGATAAAAAAGCATTCTTATTGCTCTCTATGATACTATCATATTATTGTTAATAGTATGTTCATTTGCTGTATACAATATATAAGAAATCTTACTTCTTTATTTTAATCTTCTTTTAGAATTTTTCTGTTTTCATTAATACTGATTCTCTATTTAGATTACTTTTGGCGAACTCGTTCAAGGAAACTTCTTATATATACACAAAAAGGTTTTTTTTCTTACTGTGATTTTTATCACTTTGTGTAAATTTCTTGACACTCTTAAACATGAAGCGATCAACCTCCTCCGTTAATAATAACCGAGATGTTAATTCATCTCAGTCGAAACGTATTCGATCAAATACACCAGTACGATTAGAGGAGAATTTAACTGATCATGTGAATAATGATTCAATGTCATTTCAAAGTCAAAAGAAGGTCATAAAGGTTAAATCTCAAAATTTACAAGAAAAAATATCTACTGATGAGATTAGTCATGATAATAATAATTCGATCATCACTGCATCAACACCATCTGGATCTAGTATTTCTTTTTCTTCTTCATTATCATCAAAAGGTTCATCATCATCATTAAAAAGTGATAATAAAAAAACTACTCGTAAGTTAAATTCATTTACGTATTCACAAGAGAAAACTCCTCTTGCTACAAATCATGTTGCTAATGCTTCTGTTCGTTCTGAAAACAAGTAAACTACTCTTATTGAAATAATAATTCAGAAATGAACTATTTGATTATTTAGCTCGTCGAAAAAGATTTTGACTAAAGATAGTAACAGGTTAGTATATTTAGTTTGTTCTTTTTTTAACCATTTTCTGCCTATAGATCAGATTCTTCAAATAAAAATTCATTCGGTAATTCTGGTCGAACAACAACAGATTCATATTCACCTGCAAGGTTGGTATTTGATGTAGTAGCATAGCATCTATTTTTTCCTTGTTATAGATCCGGATCAGCTTCACCATCTAATAAAATTCAAACAAATAAAGCACAAAAGTAATACTACTACGATCTTTTTTTTTAAATCAACAGTTTTGTATTGTTTTACCATTTGAAATAGTGCTTCACGTTCTTCAATTACCAATAATTTGTTCACACCTAATCAATCATCATTATCATCATTGAGTGATTCAAATTCTTCAAATAGCACCAATTTTTCTGTTTGTCCTTTAGTTGAAGGTTCTCTGGAATATAGAGAGCTAAAGCGCTTGTATTTGGAAGAAAAAAAGGCAAAAGAAGAATGGAAAAAGGATTACAAAGTTTTGAAACAGCAACTAGCTCATCTTCGATCAACCACCATTCGTGAGTGTAACCTTTTTCTACTTCACTGGCGTTAGCTAAATATCTTAAATCAGAGGTCGATTAATTGTTACAACACATGTGATATCATTTTTTCATTAATAAAGCTAGAAACCCTAACATTTTAATGCATTTAGTATAAATGAAAAATAAATCAAACTATTTTGTTTATTTCATACAGAATTTTTCTTTTCGATTAAATAAAAATTTGGTATTCTAATTTCAATCAAGAACTACATCAAGAATAAAACAAGATATAGCTTCTCGAGGGCTTTTTTAAACGTAGGGGGAAAACATTCATATTCGACTCATTAATAATTTCATTAAAATATTGCATAAAATTTTTTTTACAAAATTGAAGATTACAATTAATGTATTATTTTTAATTTAGCTCGACCAACAGCTGAAGTAGTTGAATGGCTACAAGAGATGCTTGATTTAATGAATAATAAAGCGAGTTTTCAAGGTGATGGAAGAAGTTTAGATAAAATTATTGAAGATTTAAAACTGGATGAAGTTAGTTTTATTACAGTTGCTGCACGTACACCTCAAAAATCAGCATTAAAGCTTTTTCGTTTGCTTTATCCTACAGTTAGTAGTCGAGCTAATTGTGGGTCGATTTCACGAGTACCTCGAGCACAACTAGATAATATTTATAGTAAGTTTAGTTATTAGTTCTGAAATTGTTGGAATTTTGTTTCTGTATATTTTTAGTGTGTGTTCGTCATATTCATAAAAACTTGAGTTTTAGTAAAACTGAAATGAGAAAAGCAATTGGAACTTCAATCAGAAGTGCTAAATGTGCATTGCGTCGAGCTGAACATACTCGACAACAATTATATGTATTGCAAAATGATGAAAATCTTGATCCGGATGAGAATGATGAAAATAAAAATGCTACAAGTGATATGAAAACAATTTTGGATACAACTAATGATATTACAGATGATGATGAAGAGAAAAAAGATGAAGGTCATAATGAAGATGATGATGAATATGAAAATAAAGATGAAGGTGAAGATGAAGATGAAGATGAATATGAAGATGAATATTTTGATAAAGTAAACAATCTTATGATTGACGAAGCACTTGATGAAGACGATGAAGATGATGATTGATACTTTTTAAATGAACGACATGATGTATTTATTAATAACACATTAAATTTAGCTTTTGATTTTTAATTAAAAGCATATCCACTATGTTATTTATTATATTTTATTTATTATACTATTTTTTCTCTTTTTAATTGTTCCATGTATCTAAGTACCTTATCCCATTTAATATGATTCATTATTGTTGATCTTCATAGATACTTTTCACTTATAACTGGTGTATATATTTATCTGATCAGATACCTAATACTTTTAATTGCAATTTAGATTGTATTTTTATGATGATAATAAGTTTTTAAAAATTGCAATGCCATAAACACAAATGAAACAAAAAGAAGCTGCTCATATATGAATATTTTAATAAAAAAAAACGAGAGTAGGAATAGTATGCATGAAAATAAAAAAGAACGCAAGAAAGTCGTGATTGAGATACCTATTTGGCTTAATCAATCATGTTGATTCAATATAATCAATTGTATCTGAATCTAAAGACTGAGACGAAGAAAAATGTTGTACTTAATTGACTAATCTTGAACAAAAAGGGAAAAGAGTTTTAAATTAAATAATGAATCTATAATTAAATCATTTTGATCGAATGAATATACATGAATATTGGTTTTTTGTGAACTTCAGATTATAAAGAATATAAAAATGAGTGATGATGACGAAATTCCGCTACATTCGGCTAAAAGTTTCATTCGACGAGTAAGAACTGCAGTTGATCGTATTTCTCGCAACAACCTATTGTATTCCGTATGTTCTGATCAATCGAAAGACGTTGAGTAAGTGGCTAACAGTATACTTATATATCTATTATTCTAATAAAAATATAAAATGAAAAGTGATCACAGTGAAGACAATTATTTACAAAATAATGAAATGGATGACATCATAATGCAGGATTCAGATGAAGAACAAGCAGAAATTAGTTCAATTACATTCGATTATTCTGCTGACGACAGACCTGATGCTAATTCATATTCAAGAAATGATGATAATGAGAATGAAATCTCACCCCAAACAGTACATGATGTTGCTAGTAATAATCCTCAATTTTCTCCACCTAATACGAAGCAAATATCAATTGCTCTTGCTCTATTTCGACATCGACACAACTTATCAAAGTCTTGTATGAATGATCTATGTGATTTATTACGTTCACTTGGTGTACAGGATGTGCCAGCTGATTTTCGTTCTATTGAACGAAATATTTTAGAAAACCAAGAGACCGTTTTACAAGGTAAAAAGTATACTATTTGTCCAAAATGTGGTAATAAAGGAATTGTCTCATCAAAATGTGAGAACGTCAAATGTAGTTCAAGTGCTGGTTTTAAATCAACTCCGACAACATTATGTATATTTAAACTTCTTCCTCAAATAATATCGATTTTAGAGAGACATTGTATTATGCCTGAAACAGATTATAATGATTCAAGAATAACTGATGTTCAGGAAGGTCAAATACGACGTAATCTTATTCATCAAGAACGAATGCATAATCCAGACAAGCAAATTATAACTTTCCTGTTAAATAGTGATGGCATAGTTTTGAAGAAAATCAGCCGGTCAATATGGGTTACGTGTATGATTATTAATGAGCTACCACGTAGTATTAGATATAATATTAATAATGTTATAATTTGTTCCGTCTCCATCGGCTGTAATAAACCAAAAAAGGATCTATTTCAAAATTTCATTGATGATTGGGTACATGAGTTACACCAGTTAGAACTTGGCTTTTACATATCATTTCCAAATTCAAATGGCACTTTTGTGAAAGTAAATGCTTATTTAATTGCAGCAGCACTTGATAAACCTGCTCAAGCACTTCTAATGAATATCAATGATCCGACTGGTTTTTACAGCTGTATTCGTTGCACAATTCGAGGTAAGATGGTACATCGCTGACTATTTATGAAAACGGAGTTGATATTAGATTGATACATTCCAAGTTCTAAATATTCAATCAGATAAGAAATCCTGAAAACGGGCTTAAGCGTTCCTAATCATGATATTCGTTCAAGCATTTTCACGCCCATTCAGGAGATCACCAGACCGACCACTTTTTACATAAAAATAGCGCTAAACATTTAAAAGGGTAATTTTTGCTTCTTGAGAACGTTGAAAAGTTTTTTCCACAATATTTTGACGTGATTTGCAAATAAAAATAGCCTTTCATGTGCTGTTTTATGAAGAATATTGCAAAAAAACGTTTTGGACGTTTTCAAGATGTAAAAATTATTTTTTAAAGCGTTTTCACGCAACTTTTATGACGACAGCAGGCCCATTTGTAGATCTGCTGAATGGATGTAAATTTATTCAGATAGACAACGCGATTATGGAGTTTAATGTGTTTTCCGAGAGTTTTGCTTGCTTGGACAATGTTATTTCACAGAAGAACTCGAAAACTCTATATAAATAAAAACTGCTATATAACAATTAAATTTAAATCAGTGTTACGATAGTGTTCATTTATCTCATCTCGCACATTTCTGCAGCAATATTAATACATGTATATAATTTTTTAATTGTGTTTTGTTGCAGGAAAATCGGTAAAAAGTGGTAAGGGAACTACACGTGTTTTTATAAAAAATACAGAAGACGATATTGAAAAGAGAAGCAATGAATTATATGATGAACACATTCTTATATTATCACAAGTATCTATAGCACCTTTTCAAATATGAAAAAATACTATTCGTTTGTTTTACTAGAGAACATCAAAATTGAAACCAAATGAGACAGATCCTGCTTGTGGTCAACAGGGTCCATGCCTTTTGCGTGATTTATCCTATTTTCATATTGGACAATCGTTTACTTCCGATTCGCTTCATAATATATATTCAGGAACATTCGTAAGCATGCATTGATATATTTACTACTATATTGCACATATTAATATTTGATAGAAACGTCTATTGGAATTATGGTTTCGAAGTCGTCGTAAACCATACTCTATACATAAAAGCTTACATTTGATTGAAGAAAAGTTGGATTCGATTCGTTATCCATCCACCACTTATCGTTTACCATCTCAATTGAGATTTTTTCAAACTTACAAAGGGAATGAATATCGACTAACGTTATTATTTGGTTACCAGTAAGTTTTCAACTTACTATAGATGCTGTAGTCATTTCTGTCTTCAATAAGATAAATGTGTATATTGTTTATTAATCAAACAGTTGTTAAAACAAAGGAAAATATATCGATAATGATTTTTAAAGAATCAATACAGGGGAAAAGCATTCTACTATTTTTTTCTTTTCACGCGTTGATAATCATAATCTCAGAACAGATATGCTCGAGCAAATGAAAATTTAAAAAAATGCTTTTAAACGCCCAAAATGGAGTCGCGATTATGNTTTCGTTAGCTCAATGGTAAGAGCACTGGTCCGGTTAACCAGCTATCATGTCTTGGGTTCGATTCCCGAACGAAGCATATCATTTTGTTTTTCTGAATGAAAAATTCAAACATCGAAAGATAAAAGGAAGAAAAAGTATATCATATAAAACATGTATAACTCCTTTCTAATATCTAGTGATAATATCTAGTAATGAAAGCACCACTATACCCTGAGTTGACGCACCCGATACAAATTGCATATAAGTCATTTTTAAATCATTTGTGCTCGAAGCTGTACTCTCTTGCAAAAGATATCACATCAATCTGTACACCGCATAGAAGTTGTTGTTTTTCTTTCTCTTTTTTTTTTATTTCACAACATCCATCGAAAGAAGAGTTTTTCTGCCACAAACGCTAAATCTAATAAATTTCCTTGACGGACAACTACGAACAATCCTATCTATGTTTTTTGTAATGTACAAATTCAAAAGAATTTTTGACAACCGTTAAAATACATTATTGTATGTTAAAAATCAGGTGTTTCTCCAAATTGTGCTTATTCGCAAGAGCATTCGAAATTACGTATGACTTCAAACTTTTACATCTTAAAACTCTTAAACTAGTGTTTGTATTTGACTTCTTGTTTCCTTTTTTTCCTATTTTGTAACTCTAAATGATGTGAAAGTTGAACGACGAAAGAAAACTGAAGAATATGTAATAAATTTCGAGTGTTAGGACTAGAGTAGACTTTTTCGACCAAAGTTTCATTCGGTAGAGGAAAACCAGGCTACACACATGCAAACCAAACATATGATTTTATATCTGTAGCTGTTGTGCTGTACATTCGTTTTTAAAAATATGTATTCAATAGACTTGGTCGTTATTGATATTTTGAGGTTCTGATCATATTTTCTAACTTTCTCAGAGATCCTGTGCAGCTTTCTGGAAAGCTTCTTTATCACTAACGAGAGAACATCCCCAACTGGTGAGTCGTTTTTTGACCGTTTTCTAGCGGGTCGTTTAAAGGACTGGGATTTTCAAGATAAACTCCTACGATGATTTGAAACCTGTTAGCTCACAGCAAAAAAAAATGTCCAGCTTGTTATGCAGAAAATCGCCCTCCCTATGAGAAAGTCCTATGTAAAGAGTAGAAAAATAGCCGAAAAATTAATCTCGACGTTTTGACCTCTAATTTTAGTCACACCTAGATATCATAGATACGAGATTGCTCAAAACAAGTCAGCTTTTTCTATCAACTCCTTTCGGAGATATGACAGTCACAAGTTTGATCCTCGGTATCCCATAGTCACAATTGGAAAAATTGTGACAGTCATAATCTTCGAAAAAACTTGATAAAAAAACTGAATTGCTTCGTCTACCCTTTGTTTAGGACTTTCTCATGGGGGTGGCAATTTTCTACACAATGACCTGGAATTTTTTTTTTATTGAGCTGTGAGGTTTCAAATCATGGTAAAAGTTTATCTTGAAAATTCCAGTCCTTGAAACAATTCACGAGAAAAGTCGATCATTTTGTGATGTACAGGTTACCGACGGATTTAAAATATAACTACGAAGTTTACCCATAGTCTTTCGAAGACTCGGTTTCCTGGAAAATCAGTCTTTCAGAAAACATTTAATGATTTTCCTGTAAATTCTATAATTTTGAAAGGAAAGATCGTTTAGAGCTGGAAGATGTCTCATTTTATTTAATCAGAAATTTGTGTGTTACAACCATACCTCATTAAGAAAGGTTTTGGTTATTGTTTTAGAGTTTTTGGAAGACTGGTTTCACAGAAAACTAGGCCTTTGAAGATCACTGTGGAATCCTCATAGTGAATAATGTATAATCCACTAGGTTTTGAACAAAAAGCAATTTTTCAGTTGAAAATATTCTCTCCTTAGCGTTGATTGCACATTATGAAGTTTCTATATTGATCTATAGATGAAAGTATAAAAATGCTGGAAAGTTTGTATGCCTGATATTCGAAGTGAAAAGCTCAATTCGTCTTTCTGACAAAATGTACACACAGAAGTTGAACAACAAAACCGTAAACAAATGTTTTCTGTTTGAGAATTTTTTCTCATCACTGTTGGTGGTTCACCTTAACCTGCCAAAAAATCTGTACAATCGCTGGCCATCAATACGTCTTTTACGGAACGATAGTAGATACACCTGATCCACTGACATCACGAATTAGAAAACAGCATGTTTGTGTTGTAAACAAAGGCAAAATCGAAATTATTGAACCATATGCTGGTCGAAATCTTGAAGAATACCAGAATTTCATGTTCATCAAGCTAAGTGAAAGTCAATTTATCTGTCCTGGATTTGTCGATTTGCACTGTCACGAAACTGGTCTCTAAATTATTACGCAATGGTACGACGACGGCTCAGTATTTTGGAACGATACGCCTTGAAGCAACAAAAATTCTAGCTGACATTTGTCAAGAAAAAGGACAGCGAGCATATATCGGCAAAGTATGTACAGATCAAAATTCACCGGATTTTTATATCGAGACGACAGATGAAGAGGTTCGAAATACAGAAGAATTTATCAATTCTGTTCACCATATGCAAAAAGGAAGAGACGTGGCTGGGACGAATGCTTTGAAACATCCCGTCATTACTCCTAGATTTATACCGACATGCTCGATAAATTTACTTTCACAATTATGACAATTAGCAAAGAAATACGATGTTCACGTTCAATCACACATTGCAGAGACAGCAGACCAGGTTGCGTTTGTACATTATCTTTATCCGAGCATCGGAGACGGACGAGATGTAGTCATCTTTAGCGAAACTGGCCTCTTGACAAACAAAGCAGTTTTTGCTCATGGAATTTATTTGGTAGACAACGAGATTGACGAAATGGTCACAAGTGGAAGCGCATTAGCCAGTTGTCCAGTTACAAACTTTCTTTTCTCCAAAGGAGTCACGGCAATAGAACATTTTACAAGAATCGGATTAAATGTTGGTTTGGGAACGGATATTGGAGGAGCATATTCAAGCAACATGCTTTCTGTCGTGCGAGCTGCTGTTTTTGCAAACAGAACGATGGATTTTGTCTCTTTTGATCGTTCAAATGCTACATTACCATTCTTTCCTGAGCATAAAGATGTTGTTATCGATTTGAAATTCGCTTTCTATTTGGCCACACTTAGAAGTGCACGAGCTTTGAATATCGATTCACAAATTGGAAGTTTTGAAGTGGGAAAGCAATTTGATGCATTACTTATAGATTGTAACAAGGAGAGTCAAGAGTTTGATTATTGGAACGAGGATGAAATGGACATTACATTTGAGCAATGGGTGAATGCAGGAGATGATAGAAATATTACTGGAGTTTGGGTTCAGGGAGTCAAAGTTGAATGATATTTAGTATAGTATGACGATTGATAAACTGTCAATCCAGTAATGTCTGACATTTTTTCATTTCTACATGAATGTTGAAAAGTTTTGTAATGTTAGCTTTTTATTCTATTTTAATAAACGAGCAAAATTGTACACATCTTCACAAAGTGTGAAATAGAACAGCCAGTAATCAAGATAAATGCGAAAACCATACTATTTAATATTGCGTAGGTCAGTGAATGATCCAAATTCAAAAAAGAAATGTTCACAATGGCGCACTTTATTCTTTCTAAATATTTCTATTTCTATTGAGGAAGGTGCCGATTTTTGACATTTTTCTGAAGGAAAATCATACATAATGCATTATTAAGCAGTAGATACAAATATGAAACTAAATGATGTTTCTTTAATTGTATATAAATACTTTTTCTTCATAGTATACTTTATTTATTTTATTCCAAACGTTTCGATTGACTAGTTCAATCTTCATCAGTATATATAACTGTTTAATTAAATTACATTAATTAAAAAAAAAATTTGAACAAAATTTCTTTTTTATGCATAGAGATTTTTGAAATGTACACAAGAGATAATAAAAACGGTGCCATGGCAAAACATCATTAACTTCTTTTGCTCAATTTAGAAGATTCTTGCTCGTACAAGTTACAAAATTTTAAAGAATAAGACAAAAAGGAAAACAAAATATAAAGAAGAGATACTGTTATCAGAATTAGTCGAAAAACAACAGATAGACTTAGGTGAAATGAAAATGTTATTCGAAAATAATAATCTAGCAATTGTTTATAGGCAAGTAAAGGTTCCTATGGAAGAAAATCAATGCGATTGTCAGTACCCATGAGAGAAACAATAGGGAGTGGGTATGGCTTTAGGTGTTGGTCTCAATGTTCAAGGACAGCAAATCGAACCCACACCCATCCTACTTTCATAAATATCTACATTGCTACTCTATAAACCTTGTACTATGGATGAGTACAAAATAAAAATTTGTTTGAATAGATTTGTTTTATAATATATGTTCATTCAAGATTAATATTATAATATATAAAAAATGGATTAAAAAAACTAGTAAAAATGCACGCAATGAAAAATAAAAATCAATATAATTAAAATAAACTTGACATCAATAAAAAAAAACAAGATTAGCATAACATGAAAAATGTAAATCAAGCAATAGCTTGACAAAGAAAAACAAAAACAAAATATAATTGAAAGTAATGTGTAAAGAACCAAAGTAAATAGACATGCAACTCAGTGTAAGTACACAGTGAGATAGAATATGAAATAGTTCTCATGCAGTATGAACTTCCAAGATGTTTTAAAGAATTTCTTATTCTTACAAAATTTTATTTTTGGTCATTTTTCGTTTCTGAAAAGTTTTGTGAAGTTCAATTATTCTCTGTAGAAATTTGAGGAGTAACATATGCGCTTACTTCCAAATTCATGTTCGATAAACTTCTTAGATCGATACTAGATTCAGAGAAGTTTTTTTTAAGTATGTTGCGTTCTACAGTTTTGAGATAACTCTATGCTGTAATAAGAACATTCCCACTGGCATTGTTTAAAGGACGGGGGCGCATCAGAACATGAATCGATCCACTGAACTAGAGTGTGGATATAGGTGCATAATTATGGGTGTTGGTGTTCTTATCTTTCACACGCACACCCACATCTACGCATCCAATCAATAATATTCAAGCTCTATGCAGAGGGTATAGAAAGACATATACAACAGCAAAGAAGATCGTTTTTTTCTTCGGCATCCAAATATTTATCAGTGGTTCTCATTCATATCTGTTCAATCAAAGTGGAGCTACAGTAAACATTTATCATAAATCAGATATAAATATCCAATCACATACGTTCCATGTTACCCATTCATGCACATATCTACACTCTCCTAATACCGAAAAGGACAAACAAATTTTCAAAAAAAGAAACAAAATAATGTACAGTCAATTGTAATATGACATGAAAGCTGAATAGTAAGATATTACTGTTAATAGCGTTTCTACACCAAGAAGAAAATCGATGTCATCTTCAGATTTCTCGCTGCAAAAAAAAGCCAATCGGTATGAGGACAGCTAAGACTATTGTACAGATCATAATACTGATTATGCAAGTTTCTCTCGAGTAGAAAAGCAAACGTCTGTTAGCACCGAGAAATGTTATTGCCGATTGACTAAATACCCGAGTTTGTTTTTGTCTTTTTTTGGCAATTTTGATTGCTTTTGTTGTGCTGTCGACTATGTTAACTGTTTTACTAGCATGATATTCGATCGAATCGGCCATTTTATCCTCTATTAAATAAACAAAGGTACATAAAGAAAACGAGAGACATTTTGTTGTTGACCTGTGTCTGAACGAAATCAGTGATGCCGATGAATACGTCATTCAATTGTAGAGTGCCTTTCGAGCGATCCACAGTATAATTGTTTGATGCATGAATACCGACCAAGGCTTATGTAATTTGAACTGTGCCACATATGATCTAAATCGACCAGTGTCGAGATTTTATTTTTGAATAAGAGTTAGCTGTTTTGCTCACATACACCATAAAGATGCATAATCATATTACCCGATAGGAACATTTCTTCGACTTCATCATCGGTCACTGACCGACCCACTTTAAACAAAAAACAAAGTACATGCAAGATGTGATCGACGTTTCGTGTCCCGGTACAAACAATATAGAATGATGTGTGCGAGCTTACAATACTTGCACTAGACTGTTTTAGCATATGTACTTACAGATATCAAAGTGTTGCTGAATTCTTATTTTGTAATTTTGTCGATAGTTTATTCGAGCTTGGTTGTAATGATGCATAACATTTGAAAAATTCTTTTGTGACCAAGAACCGCTAATAAAAAAGACAAACATCGAAGATACAAATAAAATAGAACCAAACATGAAATAAAAGTGAACAGATTGGAAGTGTAACGCAACAACAAATAACCGAACCGATCTAGATTTCTTTTTATTTTTTTTCATATTGATCATAGAGATGTTTATTTTTGCATATCAAAATAGTCTTATAGTATCGATGACAATTTCTATGAAAAATCATGAATTACAGTATTGGTATTGAGTTAATATTCATCAGAAATGTCTAATATATTTTATCAAATCACTGCGATATCTAGTTATATCATCGAAAAAAAACGGATTCACTATTTGTCATTGTAATTGCTTACATGATTTATTTCATTTTTTTATTATTTATACAATATCTTTCATAGAGACAATGGGATAGCATCGTAAACCTATTGATAGACGCAGAGTACATATACAGTCGATTCAGAATTTCAGCGTCTGATGAATACTTCAACAGTATGAAAATCTAATATAGAATTTCTGACTCTTTAAAATCTTATATCCATTGATAGCTGTCAAAAGAGAGAAAATCTATAACTATTTTGAGAGCCCCGAGGAAAACCTCGTCATCTGAATGACAGCTCATTACTAGACCAAAAGTCGCCATGTCCACAAATCTGCTAAGTAGCTTCAGACATCAAAATCTCCGTTACTATATTAAAAGAGCATCAACATGTTTATAACGATTTTCAAAGCCAGTCGAGAGGATGGGAACAAATGTCTCGTCAAGTACATGAAAATTCAATGATAATCATGTTTCGTGAAAGCACTCTGATAATGGTACTAAAGCTATAAATAGTATCTGTAATGATTTAGATGTAGGCATGACTCATGAAGATATGGATGTGACTCTTACATGATGAGACATATAAACAATGACTTATGCTGATCTGGAGCAAACCCTACCGGTTGCAACTCTGAAATAACCTGACAATGTCTATAAGTTCTGTTGGTTTTTTTGTGTTTAATTTATTAAAAACATGTTCGTTAGAATTTGTTAGGCACTGGTTTGATTTCTTATTCCGGTCTTTTTCGAAATGTGTTTCACTTGAAAAACTGTTTCGATAGAATATTAATCACATTGATGACTTTATGCTATAAGGATTACAAATGAATAGAAACTTTCCAGTTGGGTTCCTGTTTACTTTTTTTGTGTGCTCTCTGTGTGATTCGATTATTCGAATACACGAATCGAATGAGCAGCCTACTGATCAGAGCGAAAGCCGATGGTATAAAAGGTAAAACTCTACCTGGGTTTCTTTGATACATTGTTGAGCTTGACTTTTACTACTCATTGTTTGTCGTTGTTTTTGTTCTTGTTCGATCTATGGCCGAGAAAAAAAAGAGAGGGAAATGAAAATATCGGTTTGGTGTTTTATTTATTTGTTTGTTTTTTCAATCAGTAACTCACTTTTCAATTGTATGTTAACATCATGCGCTGATCTCTTGACATCGACCATTATTTCTATCAATGTTTCATTCGTTTGATCAACGAATTGAGATGAAGTCAATATTGTTGAATGCGCTCGTGTCAGTCCGTCGACTAAACCACTGATTTTGTTTATGTTGATTCTCAAAGAATCGACATGTACAAAAAAGTCTGACAGGAATTGACTTTCGTCTTCCGTGTTAAATACCACACCAAACCCATCTGAATCCATCTCTTCCAACCTTTGTGCCTACAGAAAATAAAATGAAAAACATCCGCATTCAACATAAGAAAAGTCAAACAAACAATAGCGAATAGGACACGTACCGCTATCAAAGCTGGTAGCCGATATCTGAAAGGTACTAAGAGGGATGTTTATCGGTATGTTTGGTTCACACTCAAAGCAATCGGCACGTATGCTGAAAACGGAAGCGAATAGATTAATCATACTATTGATCTGTCAGCTTTATTTCTTTGTGCATATTTAATCCTGGTCTGTA